GGTTTTCTACTCTCTCAAAGTACCAGTCGAGGACACCCACAGGAGGTCGGTATGAGTCAGCATTGACTCGATGGCAGTGAGTTTGGTTTGCCAGGGGAAATTATATTTATATATAATATTTGGAAAATGATAATTTAGGATGGTTTTGACTCTGGCAGATCACTCAACTTCAAATGGCAGGTGCAATCAGATGATTCGTTTTCAAGTGAAATCTTTGTCTGGTATGATGGTAGAGGCACAGGCAGCGGAAGAGACTTCTTTTTTAAAGGCTCTCTCGCTGTTGATGTTAGGGTTCGGTGCTGTTGGCTGCTCCCGACTCTGGGGGATCTGACGCACAACAGAGGGGAACACTGCCTGGTCCCGTGCCGTCCTCCTCTTTCCTAAATTGCAGCCGCTGTGTCCATCTATCTCCTTGAGGGTCTTTCTTTTCCCCCCTTCTTTTGGCTGTGTTTGTTACATAATTTAGTGTCAATCTTGATATGTGAAATGTAGGGGTGGAGTCTAGCCTGTCAGTCAGGCCACAGCCTGATGGAACCTCCTTGTGGGTGTGGCCTTCTCATGAGGAGGGTCTTGGGAACCTCCTCACCGGCCCTCTGCCCTCACCTTCCTGCTGGCGAGCTACATGGCTGAGACCTGCCAGAGCCTTGTGATGCTTCCACCACCACTGGATCCACAAGACTCTGCACCCACCGGCCTGTGATCTTCCTGTATTCTGCGTCATCGCATGTGGTTTCATGAGTCTGCCGAGGAACGTCTGGACTACAATTGGACTTAAGGACTGGTATCAGACTTACGGACTAGATCTGGACCGGGCTGGGATATTTTCTTGACGTTTCACTAGTTCTTGATCTAAAACTCTCTCGTACACATACATGAGGATCCGTGGATTTGTTTCTCTACTCGACCCGGCCTGGCACACTGACCCTTTCCACTACACAGCATGATCAGCTTCTCCAGGGACTTGTCCTTGCAGATAGCATGTTCAAAGTGCACGAGACAGTCTCACCATCCTGGCTTCTCAGGAGCAGTCTGCCTGTACTTCTTCCAACACAGATTTACTTGTTCTTCTGGCATTCCGAAGTATATTTAATATTCCTCGCCGGCACCATCATTCAAATGCACCAGCTACTCTTCAGTCTTCCTTATTGACTGCCCGGGGTCCACACACCTATGAGGAGACTGAAAGTACCATGGTTTGTGTGTCAGTCTGGGTAGACCAAAGAAACAAATTCACAGACACATTCCCATGTGTATAAGAAAGAGCTTTATATACAAGAGCAACTGAATATTGAGAAAACATCCCAGCCTAGTCCAGATCAAGTCCATAAGTCCAATATTAGTCCATATGTCCAATATCAATCGATAAATTCCTCCTCAGACTCACGAAACACATGCAATGGCGCCCAATGCAGGAAGATCACAGGCCAGTGGATGGGGAGTCTTGTGGATCCAGTGGTGGTATAAGCATCTCAATGCTGGCAGGCGTCTCCACGTGGCTTCTCCAGCTCAGAGCACTAGCATAGTCCATGTATCTTGTCAGCTGTAATGTCTCTCTCACAGGGAGTGAGCAGAGAGAGAGAGACTGTCTCCCACTTCCAGGGAGGATATAGGAGTTCCCAGAATCCTTAGAAGGCCATGCCCACACAGAGGCCTCATTGGCTATGACTTGATTGACAGGCTAGACTCCACCCCTTCACTCTTAATCCTCTCAAATTGACAACAGATTATATAACTACCACAGCTTGGTACAGGTACATCTTACTTCTCAACGTGACAGCTTAGCTTTTGAACTCTTTGAAGAGGTCTTGCACGGATTTGCCTGGTGCTGATGTGAGATGTCTTGACGGCTGCTTCTGTGACTGTCGGTGTGGGTCCAAGTGAAATGGGGTCCTTGACCACTTCCATCTTCTCTTCATCTATCAGGGACTTGGGTTTCACTTTCTGTAGCCGGCAGAAACTAAGGTGCCACAGCTCATTCGAGCAGCGCCTACATTTAGAAATCCGAAACGTTAAAAAAAAAACAACCTCAAAATGAGATGGAAGGCAGGATGATTGGCAACTGGCTATTTCAGCATCCCGCAGCATTGGCAAGGGCTCCCTGTGCTGCTTCTTGCCATATGCCAGCCACAGGCCTCCAGCTTTTGCTTCAAAGCGAGCCTCATGGGCGCAAGATGGCTGCAGTGGCCCCCAGCATCACACCTTCACAATGCCCCAAAGAAGGAAGAGAGACACCTCTTTTAAAAGCAAGAAGACATCCCCAAAGCTCTCTAGTAGACCGGTTCAGATTTCCCGGGTCACGATGGCATCATCAATTCTGGTAAAGGCAATAACTCACTCCTGTTTGGTGCAGACAACCATGATCCACCTCTCGGGCCTGGGGAGGGATGTGCCTGCCTGAAGCTGCCCAGCAGCGGTGGCACAGACTCTAGGTTCTGCTTGTTGATGGAGGAACAGTGCCCGACACACAGGCAAACTCCCCCGTGACGTCATGCTTTCAAGTGCCCCCACGGTAAGCAGCAGCCACTTGGGATGATATCGATCCTCCTTTGCATTTGTTGTTGTTCATAAAGCAAGTATGTCCAAGTGAAGAAACTCACTTCGGTATTTCGAATGCTCTATTTTCTATGATGGAGCGGTTCAGAGCAGGAGCCCTGTTGGGCAGCTAACCGTAAGATCAGTGGCTGGAAACCAGCAACTGGTGGTGAAGGATGAGGCTTTCTACTCTCTTCACGGTTTACAGCCTCGGAAATCTACAGGGGAGGTTCTACTCTGTCCTCCAGGCTCCCTAGGGGTTGGGATCAATTGAACGACAGTGACACGTGCCCGCCCCTTCCACAGTCTTTCCTTCTCAAACGAAAGGAAACATATTTGGCAGGAAGATGATGCATTGGTTTTAATATTACAAAATATAATCATTTGTCTCCTGGGGTCAGTGAAAGCTAGGGGCCAGTTTCACACAAAGTTAAGAGACTCCCTTGGTTAGTTAATGGTCATTTGCTGAGCATTTACTATGCACAGGGTGCTGTGGGTTAGCTATTGGGCTGCTAACCACAGGTTGGCAGTTCAAACCCACCAGCCACTCCTTGGGAGACAGAGGAGGCTGTTTGCCCCTGTAGAGATTTGCCAGTTGGAAACCCTGTAGAGCAATTCTACTCTGCCCAATAGCATCCCTGTGAGTCCGAATCAATTTGATGGCAGTGGGTTTGTTTGTTTTCAGGGTGGTAAAACACCACACTGTGCAAACCAAGGACATTTAAAAAGAAGAAGCGATGTGATTTCTCTTGCCATCAGACGGCTTTCAATCAAGTATGAGAGGTGAACATAAACAAATACGGGATCGTGAAAACAACCTCATCGACATTGTTCTTGGGTGCCATGGAGTTGGCTCCAACCCACAGTGACCCACTGCCTGGTCCTGCGCCGTCCTCACCACTGTCCTGTCCCTGAGCCCATGGCTGCAGCCACTGCGTCCATCTTGTTGCCTTCCTCTTTTTCGCCACCCCTGCACTTTACAACGCATGATGTCCTCCAAGAACCGGTCCCTCCTGACAACCTGTCCAGTGTATGTGAAATGGAGTCTCGCCATCCTCACCTCTAAGAAGCACGCTGGCCTTACTTCTCCCCACACAGGTGGGGGTGTCCTTTCAGCAGGTTGTGGTCCTTCCATAAACCCGATGCAGCTTTGTGAGTACAACTCGCAGAGAGCCTCACGGACAGTCGAGCTGCCCCAGAGGGTTTTCAAGGGAGCGGGTGGACAAGTCTTTTCTCCCACTGAGCACTAGATGGGGCTTGAACCAGCAACCTTTTGGTTAGCAGCCAAGCACTTAACCACGGGGCCACACAACACACACACACACACACACACACACACACACACACACACACCAACTGTCCCAATAGTTTTAAGGCTTTATAGCAGCAGCAGACTGCCTCATCGCTCCCCCAGGGTGGGATAGAATTACTGTACCAGCTGAGCCCTGCTAGGCTCCCCTATTGCATACAGAGAATAACAGAATCCAGACACA